ACGAAGTTATTACCGAACCGTCTGTATGTGGGATCCGAACCCTCGGCGGGAGCGCCGCCGCGCTCCCAAGCGGCGCACTGTAGCAGTGCACCACCGGGCCGGCCCTACCTGCTGGTCTTAATCCTGGCCCTTGCTAAGTGACACTGGCTGGCACTGGTTTCTGACCCTGCCCACCCACTGAAACGGTCAACTCAAAGTTCTAGTCACAAAGTGTTTTTGACACCAGCGAGAAACCAAGGAGGAGACGACCACAGTGAGCAGCCCTGGGCCTCCCTGACTGAGAGCGTGTGGCAAGGCCAGGCCCTCATCTCTGCAGGCTGAGGGAGATCAGTCCCCACCTGCTCCTGGATACTTCAGAATGTGGCCCTGAGCTGCTCCCTAGAAGCCTGACGTTTCTACATCTGGCCCTAAAGTGGCTCAGCTCTCACCTGTGAACAAGTGTGGGAATTTAATTGGCAAAATGACAGCTTCTTTGAGGGCCTCCTTGGCTCCCTCCAGCCCGGCCACGTCACTCCACCGTATGTTGGGCTTCTCCATCACCACAGCACCTGCAAGAGGGAGGCAGACCCGAGCTCGACCCGTGAGCATGAGCCCACCCAGCAAGGGATCCACGCCACGTCCCCTCCCACTGCCACGGGGCCTTGGGCCTCTTACCCATCAGTTGTTCTTGCAACTTCTTTTTCTCTGGATTATCCCCTTCACTGTCACTATCACTGCTGGGAAAGGAGACAGAAGATCACAAGCTGGCCTTTTAGCCTAGGAGCAAGGAGGCCAGACACTGCTGCCAGCATGGTGGTTAAGGAACACTTTCCCTGCTCGACAGTGTGGGTGACTGGCGAGCAGGGGTCCTTCGAGGACATCAGGGCCACAGGCTCTCAGGAAGTCACCTCTGGATCCCTCAGGAAACACTCATAACACAGGCTTGTTTCTTCCTTAAGGGAATAAGAATAGAGACTCCTGCCTTCTCCTGAAGGCTGGGGAGGGAAGGTGCTTCGGCTGGACTTAGAGAGCAGCCAGTCAAAGAAATTAACTGTCAGGAGCCTTTCATACAGACTCAGAAACAGACAGCATGTGGCCAAAGTAGTCATGGCCCAGAGGACAAAAAAGAGGTCAAGTTAAATCTAAAGGGAACACCTGGGGAAAAGAACACAGTAACTACTCTCATCCCAGTGGCCAATTCCTGTCCCGACTGAATTTATTTACCATCCTCAAAACGCTTCTATCCCTCCTGGAGACCCTTCACCTCCCATCCCTTTCTAGAAACTCTCACCCTGGGGGATTGGAACACAGGCACGGACTCTCCGTCTGGGAAGACAGCATATTGCCTCTTGTGAGGTGCCTGACACAGCACCCACCTCTCCTACTCCATGACCCTCCTGCCACGTCAACCCTAGCCTCACCTGTAGGATGCCCCTGGCATGTGTGCTCAGCTGACTGGCATTACTGTGGTGAGCAAACCCCAGAGTGGGAATGAGAGGCTGCAGAGAGATCATTGGCTCTAGAATCAGAAACAGAGGCCCCGGACATGGATCCAGCTCCAGCATGTGCTGCCCATGTGACCTGGGCAAATCTCTGGACTTCTCTGAATCTTTCACCTCACCTGTCAGAGGCAGATGATGAGTCTTTGATAAAAACAGCAGCCGACATTTCCTGAGTGCTCACCACATGCCAAGCTCTACTCTAAAGGCTTCACCCACATCTCATTTGTCCTTACGGCAGCACCAGGAGGGGAGTTCCATTTTCTCCCCTTTCTGAGATGAGGGGACTGGAGCCCTGGGGGCGTCATGACACTTGCCTATGGTCGCATGGCTAGGCAGCGGCAGAGCCAGGGTAACTCCCACACTAGGCTCCCCACCCCCACAGCGTCTTGTACAGCGACAACGTACGTGCAAGTATTCTGGGAAGTGCCCAGCGGAGGCAGCCGCTGGCATTATCATCATCTGAGTAAAATTCCCCATAAGGCGGGCGCCCTGGAAGTCCAAGGCAGCGTCAGCAGCAAGAATGATGGCAACACGTGAAGAGGCACACGGGGGCCAGCGGTACACTCCTGCACACTCACCCCTTGCCCTCACTCTGGTGCTCTTTGACTGGCTTCTTGCCGTGCTTCTCTTTGTTTCGTAAATAATCCTTCAGCTTCTCTGCCCGGTCTAGGTACTGCATGCACTTGGCTCGAATGCTCTCCTTGGCCTTGTCACTGTGTGCCTCATCTGCAAAAGGGAGACCAGAGAGGTGCCCCTGTGAGCCCCTTGCACCCACCCTCCTGTCGCAGGAGCTCCGCAGCCAGGGAGGACCCCAAGTGAGACTCACACTTGATAGCGTGAAGAAAATACTCCACGGCATGCTGATAGAGCCGGAGTGCCTCCTCGTAATTCTTGGCTTTATCCTCTTCTGTGGCTTTTGTCACCAGATCAATGGCTTTCTGGAAAGGCAAAGCAAATAGCTCATTACTTCCCAGGAGATCTGGAAAGCCCTTGCGGTCACAGGCAGCCAAGTGAGACATGATGAGAGATATTCCCAGGCCTGGGGGTTTCTCGGTCACAGACCATTACATTGGCCTACTTTTCCAGCATCAACTAGAAAGGCCTTAAAAGGAAGCTTTGAAAAATCGAATTCTCTCTTCACAGTAGGCTCCTACGGTCAAAAGCAACCACCTTCTCAGGACTTCAGCAAGTGGAAACCTGACCTGATGTTTCAGTTTAGGGCTCAAAGGGCAAGTTTGCAGGACTTTCTATTCCACTGCCTCCAGGAAGAGAAACAGACCTGAACTGAGAGGCTGCAAAAGGGGAAGTACCAGAAGCAACTGACTGCTGTTTTGCTCAGCAAGGAGGCCAGAAACTACGCTTGTCCCCAGGACCAGAGCAGAGCCGGCCAGCTAGGAAAGTCCGGCACCAACCCAAGAGTTTCTGCAAGCTGGACTTCAAGGCATCTCTGCTCCCTCCTACTGGCCCAACTCAACTTGCTTCTCTAGGCTGAAAAGAGAAGACAGTTTTCCTCAACTATCTAAAGTTGACACCTAGGATGTGTAGACACATGGTTCAATATACCACTTGCTCCTCAAGAACAGTGATTGCTTATTCCAGAGGACATACGTGCTGCCAATTGAGAGGAACTGTCCTCTGGAACCTTCTAAGAACTCTGTGACAGTGTCTTGAAGAATCTCATAAATCCTACATGCCCATGTCCTGGCTGAACTGAAAGCACCTACATATCCAGTTTTAGAAACCGCAGCTTCACCAACCTGGGCGTGACCAGAATTCTCCTCCTTGACCTGATCCAGCACGAGTCACTGGACAGGCAGAGCCCACCGCAGACCCACAGTTCCAGCCAGGGCAAACAATAAACTTGCTGACCAGCTCTTGGCAGGGCCAGAACATTTATTCAGCCCTTCCTCATCTGCAAGTAACGAGTCTCCAAAAGACATGAAGCTAGCTGTATGACTCTTAACAGAGTGGGGTAAGCAAGGCCGGGCTGATGTTAAATGAACTCACCAGACTGGAGATGAGGAAGGGTGGGAGAGTGTTGCTACTATTTTCAAGATTCCGCTCCCTCCACTACCTACAAATAGAGAATGGCTAGGAGCCCAGAACCTTCTTGGACAATCAGCTTAAACACAAGCCTCACTTGTCCACTCTCTCTCCCATGACCGCTCTTCAGACAAGACATGGAGGCAGTGCACCTGTCCCTGGTGGCTTCTCTTCTCCACAGCAGACACCCCCCAGTTCCTTGGACTTCATCACTCTCTATGGCTTCTTCCCTGGGCCTGTCCTTTTGAAAGGCGGGGCTCAGAACAATACTCAAGGCATGCTCTGCCCCCCCATGGAGCAGAGTAGGCCCATCCCTCCCTCCTTCTAGATTAATGTACTGAAGAATGCATTAGATTTTTCTGGCAACCATGTAGTTTTTCACACATAGGGAGAGAAACAGTTTTGCATAACAGGAGCGAAAGGTGACAAATAAAACTGTCAGCCCTGCAGCATCTCTAGTAACACATATGACAAAGGATGAGGAGGAGAGAAAAGGATAATGAAGCTGTGCTAACAGAGAGGCTGGCAAACCTTTTCTGTAAAGGACCAGACAGTAAGTATTTTAGATGCTTCTGCCAGCCAGACAATCTCTGTAGCAACTACTCAACTCTGCCTTTGTAGCACAAAAGCAGCCACAGACAATATGTAAATGAATGAGCAGGGATATATTCTAATAAAACTTTATTTATAGATGCTGAAATTTGAATTTCATATGATTTTCACATGACATGAGATTTTTTTTCCAGCCATTTAAAAAGTGTAAATCCTATGACATTATGTTAAGTGAAAGAAGCTAGTCACAAAGAGCTATATATCATATGATTCCATCTATATAAAATGTACAGAATAGGCAAATCCATAGAGACAGAAAGCAGATTAGGGGTTGCCAGGGGCTGGATTGGGGAGTAACTGCTAAAGGGCTCAGGGTTTCTTTTGGGAGTGATGAAAATGTTCTAAAAAGTGATGTGATGGTCACACAGTTCTGTGAATATACCAAAAGCATTGAATTATACATGTTAAATAGGTGAATTGTACGACATGTGACTTGTCTTAATATAGCTGTTTTTTATTTTTTAAAAAGATGACCGGTAAGGGGATCTTAACCCTTGACTTGGTGTTGTCAGCACCACGCTCAGCCAGTGAGCGAACCCGCCATCCCTATATGGGATCCGAACCCGGGGCCTTGGTGTTATCAGCACCGCACTCTCCCGAGTGAGCCACGGGCCGGCCCCAATATAGCTGTTTTTTAAAAACCATAAAAACAAGGGCTGGCCTGTGGCTCACTTGGGAGAGCGTGGTGCTGACAACACCAAGTCAAGGGTTAAGATCCCCTTACCAGTCATCTTTTAAAATAAAAAAAAAACTAAAAACATTCTCAGCTCACAGGCCACACCAAAACTAGTCAGGCAGATGGGAGCTGCAGGCTGAAATCTGCCAATAACAGATCAGGGCTTCTCCTGGTGGATGGTAGGACCTGGCTTTGGACTCCATCTAATTCTTAACCTAGTACCCCAATTTACTCCATGCCTGTTCCCACTTTTTCTTCCAGCTGGGGTAACCATCCCTCCTCTCCCTCCAGGTATGAATGCTTCCCATCTTTTGATGCTCTCACTTACTGAGCACTCACTAGTACCAGACACTATATTAAGAATGTTTTACCCCAGGTATTCAATCTAGATCCATCTCACAACCCTACCCCATTTTACAGATGAGAAAACCCGAGATTCCAAGACCAAAAACCTAGTCCAAGGTCACACGCTAGTGAGTAGCAGAGATGAGATTCAGACCCTGGTCTGTGGCCTGAGCATTTGTTTTCTGGCCCTGCAAGGACCGGCAGCACCTGGAGGATGGGTCATTCATTCATCCAGGTGGCGCCGGCCCAGCACCGCCCGGCATGGCCGAGAAGAGAAAGTCGGAGCCTGGGGGAAGAGCCGGGGACTCGTTCGACGGGGGCCGAGGGGGCTCCAGGGCCGGGGCAGGAGAAGGGAGGAGCATCGCTCTCTCAGCGACCAGCCGGACCCGAGGCCGAGCTACCCGAGGCGGCGCCCGTGAGGCCTGGGTGAGGCTGATCAACACGGCGGTCCGGGGACTCAGGCAACACCTAGAGGCCGCGGGGCTCGGTCAGCCGGGCGAGGGCCGGGAGGAGTCTGCGGTGGAGGCGCCTCTCGAGCGCGTGAAAACAGAGACGGGCAGAGGCGGGGCGGGGACTCG